ACCAAGGATCAATATCCAATAACAGATGTTTTTATGTTTGTGTATAATTTTACCAAGGATCAATATCCAATAAGAGATGTTTTTATGTTTGTGTATAATTTTACCAAGGATCAGTATCCAATAAGAAATGTTTTTAAGTTTGTGTATAATTTTAACAAGGATCTGTATCAAATAAGAGCTTTTTTTATGTTTGTGTATAATATTACCAAGGATCAGTATCCAATAACAGATGTTTTTATGTCTGTGTATAATATTACCAAGGATCAATATCCAATAAGAGATGTTTTTATGTTTGTGTATAATTTACCAAGGATCAGTATCCAATAAGAAATGTTTTAAGTTTGTGTATAATTTTACCAAGGATCTGTATCCAATAAGAGATGTTTTTATGTTTGTGTATAATTTTACCAAGGATCAGTATCCAATAAGAGATGTTTTTATGTTTGTGTATAATATTATCAAGGATCAGTATCCAATAACAGATGTTTTTATGTTTGTGTATAATTTTACCAAGGATCAGTATCCAATAAGAGATGTTTTATGTTTGTGTATAATCAGAATGAAACGAACTTTTACACTTCTCATTATACTTTATGCATGCTATAGGTGAATTTGTTTGTCTGTTTGAAGCTAAGCACAGAGCTACACAATGGGCTCTCTGTTCTCTGCCCACCACGGGTATAGAAACCCGGTTTCTAGCGTTGTAAGTCCATCAGACATGCCGCTGTGCCACTGGGGGCGCTATAGGTGAATTTACAAGAGTTTTTGAATTACACATCAAAATATATATTTCAATGTAAAATTAAGAGTCACGTGCTATATGCTAGATTATCACATCATAGACGATGATCTTTAAACAGATAACATCGAAATTCCTGAATCCGGAGGGGCCAAAATCACAGCGAAGACAGTTTGGAGTGCTTTATGGGGTAAGTTGGAACTGATACACTATATCTGTATATTTACCCGTATGTCTATCTATCTATCTGGTTATCTGTCTATTTATTTCACTTTTTCTATGTCAGTCTGTACGTCTAATATATCTACTGTTTGTTAGTATAAATGTCTATGTGTGTCTGTATATCTATTAGATTGTTTTTATCTACCTATCTGTCTATCAGTCTATATTTGTTTGAATATCTGTCTTTCGACCGATCTGTCTATCAGTCACCGCGTCTGTCAAACTGTTTGCTTAGCTACCTATTTGTCTATCAGTCTTGATGTCTCTATTTGTCTGTATATCTGTCTGTCTTTCGACCGATCTGTCTGTCTGTCACCCAGTCTATATGTGTCTGTATATCTGTTAAACTGTTTGTTTAGCTACCTATTTGTCAATCTGTCTATCAGTCTATATTTGTCTGAATATCTGTCTGTCACCGCGTCTGTATATCTGTCAAACTGTTTAGTAACCTATTTGTCAATCTGTCTATCAGTCTATATTTGTCTGAATATCTGTCTGTCTTTCGTCCGATCTGTCTGTCTGTCACCGCGTCTGTATATCTGTCAAGCTGTTTAGCTACCTATTTGTCTATCAGTCTCTATTTGTCTGAATATCTGTCTGTCTTTCGACTGATCTGTCTATCAGTCACCGCGCCTATATCTGACTGTGTGTCTATCTACCCATCAGTTTAGACTATCTATCTATCTACCTATATGTGTCTGAATATCTATGAAATTCGAATGAGCTCTGGTTATAGAGTATCGTGTCTATAAGATTATTTGTTACTATTTTTGGTGGATTCTTTAGTTTGTTTGTTAGGTTCTCAATTATTTTCTGTATTTGGATTTCAGGTTTAGAAACTTTCAGCCAGTTGGTGTACCAAGACAGCGATCGTGCTGTAAGTTTTCTAGTAAATATCAGATTATTTGAAAAACATATTCTTAGTTGATACATACAACTAGTTCTTAGAGGAAAAAAAAGTCAAACCTGTTGTTTTGATAGCTAGAGTGTAATTATATTCAGTATAACAAAGCAAATATGAGAAGTTAGAACAGGTTTACACAAGGACCTATTTAATAGTTCTAAAGTATAAAACTAATAACGCTTAATATGTTTTTTACAATCGTATCAATTCATATCTAGGTGCTTGAAAATATGGTGATAATTAGTTTTTCTGTTTCTCACTAGGTATATATTTATTGTGAACGTTTAAAGGCAATAAGTAATTATTCTAATGATGAGTTTAATTTCTTTTCCTTCAGTATTTGATCAACGCTACCAGTATTTCTGACTCTCCAAGATATGGATACAGAGGAATACTACTAGACTCTGCCCGTCATTTTCAACCTATGAAAGTATTAAAACAGAATCTGGTAAGTCTATCTCTCTTCATGTCTCTGAAGAGAGAGACATTCTTGAATAGAGTTGTTTAAACATTTGTTTAACAACAAGTAAAAGCTTGATAATGCTCTATTCTTTCATTGGGGGTGTGTCTTGAGCCAGACTACTTTCGAAGAATTCCACTCCTCATCAGTGACCCTGGACACTACCACCAATGAAACTTCAGACCAAACCAAGTCTTTATAGAAGTGAGGTATCGAAAATCGAAATGGTGTATTTAAGTGTTTTACACTCACAAAAAAAGAAACCCATCATTCTATAGGTATTTGAAGAACTTGTAGCATTCCGCCACAATTTAATTCTTCGTATTGTTAGCCGACACTGAGCAGATGTAGTACATAATTGAATAGCGTTGTTTAAACAATACGAAGAATTAAATTTTGGCGAAATGCTACAAGTTCTTCAAATACCTATAGAATGATAGGTTTCTATTTTGTGAGTGTAAAATACTTAAATACACCATTTAGAGAGAGAGACATTCTGTCGTTCTATTGTTTATTTTTCTTCCAAACACTCGGCAGATTTACTTGAAACTTGGTAGAGTCATACCTTGGTCCAATACGACCAGATTATGTTTTCATTTTTTTTTAGACCTTTTTGATGACTTTATGGGGTCAAAGGTAAAACAACCCATAAATGTATATTTTGGCCTCCTGCGCTGTCATATTTACATCAATCAAGATAAAATTTGGCACACTAATATAAATATTCAAGCGCTCAAAACACGCACATTCTAAGTATTTGTAGGGGGAGCTCACAAAAAGCATAATTTTGAGATTTTTGGTCAATTACTCCATTGTATTTTGGCTAACTTACGTGGGATTTGGTACAAGATACTTTTATACAGCTCCCACACACTATATACAAAAGATGTAGGAAATTTAAATTTTTTATCATTTTAGGGAGGGGGAATCAAAATGTTAAATAAACCCATAATTGTAAGGGGGTTCGTCAATTATTTAGCTTTGTTTCGACCAATTTATATGGAATTTGGTACGAAGATACTATTCTTCAAGCAAAACACATTTACAAAAACAAAATGTTGGACTTGTACATTTTTAGTAAATAAAAGGGGTCAAGATGTCGTAAAAAAGCATAATTCTAGGGGCTTTTTTTGACAATTACTCCGGCGTATTTCTGCCAATTTAAATGGGATTCGGTATAAATATACCTTTTTTACAGGTCTCAAACAGACATTGGACAATTTTGGAAATTATGCCTATGCCTATTGGTCAATTTTTCAGCGAGGAGAACACAATTTGGGGGTTTTCGTGAACAACTCATGTGTATATCAACCAACTTACATGGGATTTGGTACAAAGATACCCTCTTGCAGGTCTCAAGCATTAATATAGACAGTTTTCGATTTTCCTGGTGTCAACATTGGCCATGTTAAGATTGCGTGGCAGAGACAGGTTGTATTCGCCCGCGAATGTTGACCTCTTTAATTAGTGTTTGAATCCCTTCGTATTCTTTTTAGTTTGAGTGTTTGGATCACTTCATATTTATGTTTAAGTTTGAGCGTTTGGATCGCATCATGTTTGTGTTTGAGTATTTTGATTATTTCCTGTTTGAGTTTGATTGTTTGGATCGCATCATGTTTGTGTTTGAGTATTTTGATTATTTCCTGTTTGAGTTTGATTGTTTGGATCACTTCATGTCTATGTCTAAATTTGAGTGTTTGTATCACTTCAAGTTTGTTTTCAGTTTTAGTATTTGGACCACTTTATGTTTATGTTTAAATTTGATTTTTTTGGTTGCCTCATGTTTCACTCAAACTTAAACCCAAACATGAAGTGATCCAAATACTCAAACTTAAACCCAAACATGAAGTGATCCAAACACTCAAACTTAAACCCAAACATGAAGTGATCCAAACACTCAAACTTAAACCCAAACATGAAGTGATCCAAACACTCAAACTTAAACACAAACATGAAGTGATCCAAATAATAAAACTTAAGCATAAATATGAAGTGATCCAAACTCTTAAACATAAACATGAGGCAACCAAAAAAATCTAATTTAAACATAAACGTGAAATGATACAAATACTAAAACTTAAACATAAATGTGAAGTGATCCAAACATTCGAACCCAAGCATGAAGTGATCCAAATACTAAAACTTAAGCATAAATATGAAGTGATCCAAACTCTCAAACACAAACATGAAGTGATCCAAATACTAAAACTCAAACACAAATATGAAGTGATCCAAATACTAGAACTCAAACACAAATATGAAGTGATCCAAACTCTTAAACATTCAAACTTAAACCCAAACATGAAGTGATCCAAACACTCAAACTTAAACCCAAACATGAAGTGATCCAAAAAATCCATGTTTTTTCTCAACATCTCTCGTAATATATATAATATACTACAACCTTTCAAAACTACAACCTCAAGATATTCTAAACATTAAGAATTGAAGAAGTACAGGTAGACGAAGCAATAAAAAAATTAGAAGCTGCAGAGAAACTGGTAATAAGAAATTCAAACAGTCAAACTTAAACCCAAACATGAAGTGATCCAAATACGAACTGAATCTTTACTGTTTAAGTTGCTTTTTTTGCCCGAACATTCTATTAGGGTTTTGCGAAATTTCTTGCGATCCCTATTATGAATCACGATATTGTTTCTTATGAATGTTGGGAACTGAATACTCTGATGGCACAGACTCCTTTGAATATATAAGAGGATGTTTAGATTTCTAACCCATGTTGATTTCTGTGAGCCAATAAAATAAGATTACAATCAATAAAGTAAATCAATCGTGCTGAGAGATAGTACAAACAGACAGACATCACCCATCACTTGTTTTTTAGTTCCGTTAAGCACGAATTTTTCACCCATTGTTCCGTGAGCTTCATATTACCAGTTCAGTTGAATGTAGGTGTGATATCACGAATACAAATGTATACAGATGCTTTACGAAAATTACGCCCGCGGAAGTGTTGTCTACGTAGAACGTCCTTGGGAAGAACGAAAAATAGTGCATGGTCAAGATGAGCTGGATGGGAGAGAACTCTCCATCCAAACATCTCACTTTTAGTTGTCACACGATAAGAAGTCTCGCTTCTGGCGTTATAATATTGGAACCTTCTAGAAACGGACGGATGTTGACCTATTAACACAATTAATCATCTTTCACAATTTAATAATATCCAGTGTCTGGAAGAGGAAAGATAGTAAGTCTAAAATGCGTGCTTTTTTGTGCATTTTTATATGTGTACAGCCTTAGCAGTCAATAGTCCAGGTTTTAAAGGGTTGTTTATTATTTTCTTGCCAGCCTACAACAAAAACGGCTTGCTATATTGCATCCAAATGTTTGTAAAATATTAAGTACGGTGCTGTAGAGGTCGTAATGGTACTGAAAAGTTGGTTTGCTTCTTCTATATTTTACATAAGCTAAAGACATGATAATTCTAGTGTAAGCGATGTTATCTTTACCCCTGAAAGTTAGCTTTCTTACATATATATATATATATAGTTTTTTTTTGTTGTTTGTTTTTAACTTAAATACATAGTGAAACAGGAATTACCAGCTAATAATAGATGACTGTAACATGTACATGCTCAATGCTTTGTACACTATACAATCGGTGTCTTTAGGAAGCTAACCCCTATATTATGTATGAAGTGAAGGAGTATAAATAAACCAATACACGTAATATTAAATTTTATTACACACATTCGTAGAATAATTACTTTAAAAGACACGAAGATTTATTTAAAGCGATGTTGTAGACGGATATGTTTTATTTGAAAAGGCTGCTTTTCTACTGGTAAAATTTTATACGTGCTTAGTGGGTGTTGTGTCTTAGTCTAGACATATATTTCCCATTGCTATGAATTATATAGAAAGAATTTAGTTACACAGAAACTATAAATGCTCACTATATTATCAAACAAATCTCCATCACAATATACAGCTGCAGTTTAACATTTTACATCATGAACTAATGCGATCAAATAGTCAATAGCTACAGTAAATCATCATGCACCGTATCAGCTAGCTACTAGCTGTATTTATTATCATTTCAATATATAAAGTTAGCTACCATATCAAGTAATCCTTTACCAAAGTTGATCATAAAAAAGCCATCAAACAAGATTAATAAAAGATTGGGAATTTAAAAACCTGCAGATAGGGGTCGTAAAAAGGTAAGCAAACAAGACTGAAGATACTGTAGACATTATTTACTCAAACCACAAATCTCTATTTTGACTCCATCAAATGTAATTCTAGGTAACAGCATGGAGTCAAAATAGGAGTTTGTAGTTTGAGTAAATAATGTCTACAGT